CCCTTCCTCTCTTATTTTCTTCTCACCCTTGTCAATTCCCTTCTGTTCCTTCAAATCTCCATCAATATTAATTATTTTTGTTGTTTTTTGTCACTGAATGTAATCAAGTCCATCAGTGTGACTGTGTGTTTGGAACTATTCTTTAGAGCTTGGTGAGTTCTCAGAAGTGGGTACAGAACTAAAGATAGTGACCCCCTATTTCCTCAAAATTTTAGGAGTAGGGGCTCTCCCTTTACCATAACTGATTTTTTAACAAGTACAGTCTTGATTTGTGCATCTAACTACATTTGTTATGAGTTTAAGACTGTAATAGTTGTGTGAGAACCAGAATATTACATTTCTCAGTTTTTTTTTATCTTTTAGCTCTTACAAGAAGAAGAAGAAGCGGAGGAAGGGGAGGAGAAGGGGATCAGGAAGAATTACCTGAGTATGAGTTTCCGCTGATGGTACTCAGCCTGTATAAAGCAAGATTACAAGGAAATTGGCCCTATATCATACATTTTTCTGTTGAAACTCCCTTTTCTCTTAGGTTGGAGATATATACCATGGGTAATAGCAATAGTTGTTCTTCCAGTAAATACAGGTTTAATTCCCAGCATTACAATTCTATGATTTTTGTTCCAGGAGTTCTGAAGTCTTCTATCTTTCTCAGGCACCAGGCATGCCATGGTACATGAACATACATGCTGGAACAGTAACCATACCTACAAATTAAAATTTAAATAAATAATTTGAAGAAGACTTTGAGAAGACAAAACTATACCCTCTGTGGAATAATGTGGCCAATGTGACATCTGAGAACTGCACTGAGTTTGGTTCAGGGTTGTTTGTAATGGCCTCAGAGATTTTGATGAGAAGAGAGTTTACTGAGAATCACTAGGATAGTTACTTCATTTGTAGTCAATTTACATAATGTTTTATATAACTATATGTAAATATTATTGATTTGAAGTTATCAAATACATGATAAAGTGTCAATTTCCCCTCAAATGGGCCTTTTGCAGGCTGAGTACTACTACTGGAAGCACATAAGCACATCAGGTCATTATCCCTGATCCCTATTTTCTTCCTAACAACTCTTCCTTATTGCCAATAAAGTAATTTAATTCAACTATAACATTGAATTCTGTTTATTTTCATTTTCTTTAATTGCATTAGGCAATATTTTGTTATTTTCTGTCTTTTTCATTATGCATATCTGAAAGTTCTTGCTTGAGTGAATTTCTAAGTATTTTATTGCTTTTGATGTTATTTTAACTGAAATTACTTTCTTAATATTTTTATTTTTCATTTCTCATGTATACAAATACAACCAATTTTTGTATATTGATCTTTTAACTTGCAACTTTACTATTAATGTCCATAGGACTTTTAAGAATTTTCTCTGTATATATTTACACAATGTGTGAAAAGATACAGTTTTACTTCTTTCTTTCTAATTTTAATGTCTTTACTGGCAGTTTTTCAAACCTAATTGCCAGATGACATGTTTTTAAAACATTCATATTACTGTCAACTTTGTTTTATGGCACATGTGGTACTATAGTCATGGCAGTGGTTAGTATGCAACAGGACGATCCCCCCAACCTCACCCCTGAGTTTAAGGCAAACTTAAACTACACAATAAGATCCTGTCTCAAAAAAAAAGTCTTCCTTTAAAAAAATTTTTAAGATAAATATATTTTCTATAATGGAAACAAAAAAGTTTTTAATACCAAGGTTGGACTGTTGTTTTTATATAACTAAATTTCACAGCCCCTTATAGTATAACTGTGATTGACATATACAAATAACTGAATCTGATTACTTGTCTTTTTCATTTATTTTACTTTTTCATTTATTTATGTTTAATACCAGACCTCACTTTACTGTCAAGGGTTGCTTCAGTGTCCTGCTTCAATCTCAGGAGAATCCATAACAGCAGGTATAAGATCATAAATGTGATATCCAAGAAGCAGAAAGACACACATGGTATATATTCACTTGTAAGTGGATATTAGACATGTAATATAGGATAAACATACCACAATCTGTACCTAAAGCAAGAAAGAGGATCCTGAGTAAGATGATCAATCCTCACTCAGAAAGCCAAATGGAACAGACATATAAAGAGTGATAAAACAGGAAACAGGACAGGAACCTACCACAGAGGGCCTCTGAAAGACTCTACCCAGCAGGGTGCTGAAGCAGATGCTGAGACTCATAACCAAACGTTGGGCAGAATGCAGGGAATCTATCAAAGAAAGGAGAGATAGAAAGAACTGGAGGGGACAGGAACTCTACAAGAGAGGAACAGAACCAAAAAATCTGAGCCCAGGGGTCTTTTCTGAGAATGATACTCCAACCAAGCACCATGCATGGAGATAACTTAATACCCCTGCACAGATGTAGCCCATGGCAGCTCAGTCTCCAAGTGGGTTCCCTAGTTAGGGGAACAGAACTGTCTCTGACATGAACTCAGTGTCTGGCTCTTTGATCACCTCCCCTGTGGGGGGAGAAGCCTTACCAGGCCACAGAGGAAGACAATGTAACCAGTCCTGATAAGACCTGATAGGCTAGGATTAGATGGAAGGGGAGAAGGACCTCCCCTGTCAGTGGACTTGGAGAGGGGCAAGGGAGGAGATGAGGGAGGAGGGTTGGACTGGGAAGGAATGAAGGAGAGGGTTACAGTTGTGATACAAAGTGAACAAACTGTAATTAATATAAAACATTTAAATTAAAATTTAAAAAAATATCATACTAAGCACTCTATCTGCTTAATACCAACTTATATCCACTGCTTCTTCCATATAACAGATATTAAGCTGTCTAAGAATAAACAGTCAATAGAAAATCAATAATACATTTGTCATTTTAAATTAAATGATAATTTCAAGGGACAGGAGAGATGACTCTGTAGTTAAAATCATTGGCTGTTCTTTCAAAGGACCTGTATTTGATAGCCAACGCCAATATGGTGGCTCATAGATTTTGATACCCTTGACTGGCCTCTGATTTTTCACTACTTGACTAAATGAACAAACTTCATTTCTCATTTACCATTGTCAAAGGAGTTTGGCAACAAAGTGAATAAATATATCTTTTGTCAGAGAAATATAATATGTGAGTTGGTAATTTTTTCTAGCTTTTGTTCACTAACATAATCATTTTCAATATGACAATCCACAAGTCATTTAAGTCAGCTACATGCCAGATTTCTGACAGATTGAAGTTATTTTTAAGTAACTGTAACAAGTTTATTTTCTTTTATATAAAAATATCAGAGCAAATAAAATTTGGGTGTAGAAAAATATAGTATTTTCAGATGAAAACTTACTTTGAAAATCAAGACATCTTGAAATTAGCCATTATCAGATCATTTCTTAGATTTTCATAATGGTAATTCTGTTCTGAATTCATAATTACTAAAAGAAATCATTGTATTCTTGGCCAGACAGGAGGATTCAGCAACACTGTTGTTGAATATGTCTGTTGTATTTAAATAATGTATATTGTGCTTTAACAGAAATCATAAATTATCAATTTGAAGATTTTATACTATATTTTTATCGTTAATTAAGTACATAGGTTAATGTCAGTGGTTAGGTATGTGTAGGTGAATGCAATTGTCTGTAAATTCTAAATTCACTGGATCTCCCTTGGAACCCAACGTGGGTTCATGTATATCAAACTTATGTCCTCTACAAGAGTGGTAAATGCTCTTAACCATCGGGCCACCCCTCCAGCCCCAGAGCTCATAAGTTCTTAAGAGATCTTATATGTAAATATACTCACTGTTCTTTATTCTCATCACTAAGAGTTTACTTAACATAAATTCAAAAATTATTACAGTGATTATGATATGTGTACCATTCATTTCCTAAGAGCTGTGATGTATTCAGTAATATATTTCTGTTATTGACAATATAAAGGTCAGAATGAAGGAGAAATCTGTGGTCACATAACTCAGTAGTTATGTAAATTGGGCAATGTCTGACCTGAGGCTGGTGATTTATCATTTATTGATCTTCAGTACACGAAATTACAAATTTTAATTTCAGAGAAGTGTTTTGTCTCACATACATGAAGGTAAAAAATTAATACCAAAAAAGATAAGAGTAGAACAACAGTGTGACCAGAGCCTAGAAATATGTGTGTGTGGAGGGACTAGAGGGGGGATGCTTAAGACATCCAGGAATGTAGCTGAATAAGAAGAGTGACTTCTAATGTTCTATAGCACAGTAGAGTAAGTACACCTTGCAACATTTCATTATATAGTTTAAAATAACTTGGAGAAAGGAATTATAAGTGTTCCAGATGAAGGATGTATAAATTAGATTGAATACCTATATTGAAATGTCACACTGTAGCCTACCTATAAATACTTTTAATAGTGCCAGCTAAAGAAAAACATTTTGGAAAAGAAAAACTCGGTTCCATAGAACATTTATATTTTAAGGATCTATTGCTTACACTCTTATAGATACAAGCACTATGAATAATTTAATCTGTAGTATTGAAGTGAATTTCTACTATAATGGAAAACATACTTATCTTCCAATGTTATCTAAAAGAATCCAATAGTATAATAATAAAAGGCATTATTACTACCAAAATAATTTAAATTGCTTAGCATAATTTAAAGATACCTAATATACACATGAAAGTTGTTTTCTGCTATCTTTCTTGATTATTTATTGTATGGAATGGGTGTGTTAAAGTAGATGTGTGATTTAAAAATATGCAGGCAAATTTGAATTTATCAATTCCAACAGAGTAAAACATAGACTGAAATACTTAAGAGCTTTCATTTAATTGAACTAAGAAAAAACTTAGAAAATACCTTCCTGGAATAAAGTAATTCAAAATCCAATTATTTGATTTGAAATATTCTCTTGAAACATCCAAACTTACTAAGAGAAAAAAACATTTTTAACAATAGATGTATTTAAAACTTAATAGGATGGCCAACAAACTAATTTCACACTATTTTAATGAGTAAAAAAAAAAAAAAAAAGATGGTGCTCACTTTGGCAGCACATACACTAAAACTGGAACGATACAGAGAAGATTTGCTTGGCTCATGCACGAGGATGACTCACAAATTTGTGAAGTGTTCCATATTTTTGCGCAAGTACACAACAAGGACATTTGCTCAGCCATGTTCGTAGCAGCTTTATGAGTGATAGCCAGAACCTGGAAACAACCCCAATGTCCATCAATGGAGGAAGGGATACAGAAATTGTGATACTTTTACACAATAGAATATTATTCAGCAATTTAAAACAATGAAATTTGTAGGCAAATGATGGGAACTAGAAAAGATCATCCTGAGTGAGGTATCCGAGAAGCAGAAAGACACACACAGTATATACTCACTTATAAGAGGATACTTGACCTATAAGATAGGATAAACATACTAAAATCTGTACACCTAAAGAAGATAAATAAGAAGGAAGACCCGGGGTAAGATGATCAATCCTCACTTAGAAAGACAAATGGGCTGGACATTGGAAGTAAGAGAAAACAAGTAACAGGACAGGAGCCTACCACAAAGGGCCCCTGAAAGACTCTACCTAGCAGTGTATCAAAGCAGATGCTGAAACTCATAACCAAACCTTGGGTAGAGTGCAAGGAATCATATGAAAGAAGGGGGAGTTAGTAAGACCTGGAGAGGACAGGAGCTCCAAAAGGACCAAATATATCTGGGCACAGGGGTCTTTTATGAGACTGTTTCTCCAACCAAGGACCATGCACGGACATAACCTAGAACCCCTGCTCAGATGTAGCCCATGGCAGCTCAGTATCCAAGTGGGTAACTTAGTAAGGGGAACAGTGACTGTCTGTAACATTATCTCAATGGCTGGCTCTTTGACTCCTCCCCTTCCCCCAAGGGAGGAGCAGCCTTGCTAGGCCACAGAGGAGGACATTGTAGCCAGTATTGAAGAGAACTGATAAGCCAAGGACAGATGGAAGGGGAGAAGGACCTCCCCAATCAGTGGACATAGAGAGGGGCAGGGAGGGGATGAGTGAGGGAGGGTGGAGTTGGGAGAGAATGCGGGAGGGGGCTACAGCTGGGATACAAAGTAAATAAACTGTAACTAATATAAAAATATTTTAGAAAATGAGTACCACCTTAAGAAATATGTTTCTCTTCTCTGTTGAGGAAAATCATTTTCTCCAGTGAATTCAAAGGGTTCAATCTAAATTTTATGATCTATGAACCAGAGAACTTGGATTAATGCCCAGGAACAGGGGTCACTGCTGGCACTTGAATTTATGAGGACTCTATTTATAGTTCTATGGACAAACCTCTTATCAGAAAAAAAAAAAAAAGTTTATGAAAAGAAAGAAAATTGTGCTTTCATGATAATAGTTTTCCTTAAAAAATCACTGTTTCAGAATGAGGGCTGGGCAAGATGGCCGTGCCGGGAGGACTCTCATTCTGAGGAGCAACACAGCAGGATTGGAACAGTGACCAGCAATCAGAACTCTCGGCCATAAAACACAAGTGATTGTGTTTCACAGGTGAGAGGATACCCCACGGTGGTGGATTCAATCAGTTTTAACTCACCCGGCTAAACCGCGGAAGAGATCCTGGTTCTGCCAGGTGCTTTGTCGCCAGCCCAGAGCTACACTCCAGCATGATCTGGTCACAGTCCCAGACTGAACTGTGGACCCACAACACCACAGACTGGATTTCCCAGTCGAGAGATAACCCCACAGAGCAGGAAACAATTGGGACCGACCTCAGGTCACCCAGACATCCCCTGGAAAAGACTCAGGTTGCACTGATGCCCCAAGAGCCAGCCCGGAGCCAGAGCCGGGACCCAGGCGCCTGCACAGAGCCCTGCCTGCGCTCCTTCCTGATTCGACTCCTCAGATAGAACTGTGGGCACCAGGGCACCAGGCACCAGAGACTGCGTTTCACTGGCAGGTGCAAACCCACAGGGAGGGAAACAGCTGGTCTGATCTCAGAGCAGTCAGCCGACACCCCACCCCGAAACGGTCTAGAGAAAATTACACAGTTTAGGCAGCAGCCAAGGCTCCGAACGGCCAGAAAGGCGGAGGCACAAGCGGGCATCTGTGCCGGTGGGTTCTACTCGCCACCTCAGACAGAACAGAGGTCCCCAAAGCAAAGACTGGGTGTCTCTGGCAGGAGAAAACCCCCAGTGGAGGGGATCATCAGCTCTAACGCTTAGGACACCCAGCACCAAAAGACTCCCTGGATTCACGCAGACTCTAGGTTCTAATGCAGGCAGGAGCGCTGTGCTCAGCTGCCATTATTGAGTTCCCCTAGGGCACTGGAACACACAGCTGCATCCTCAGACCTACAAAAACCAGAGAGCCATCACAGCAGCCCTCAGATACTGTGCCAAGGATCAAGCAGTAATCCCAAGCTAGAATGACAAAACTGTGGGAATCCCTGGACCTTCAAGAAGGCTGCACCCACAGCATCTGGACCAGAGCAGTGCCTGCAGCCGCCATCACAGACAGCGACACACAGCTTCTGGTCCAGAGTGAGGCACCCAGCCTCCAGACCAGACAGAGCCCCCAGGCGCCAACTCAACCTAGGTGCACATACTCCAGGCCCAGAGCAGAGCACTCAGCCTCTGGCCCAGAGACTTGCTGAGTGCACCTCTCACTTTCCCGGACAGAACTGTGTGCCCCAGGATAACAGACTGAGTTTCCCTGTTGGGAGAAAACCCCACAGCTAGGGAATCAGCAGGTTCTTCAAGAGGACTGTACCTGGAAATTTAGTGAGCAACAGCACACTACATTTATAACAAGAAACCCAGCAGTGGGGCAGCTGTCTTGAGAACTTCTATGGGTAAGAGGAGATCCCCCCTGCCTAACAAAGACCACAGATACTAATCAGGGCTATAAACCTGAGGTGAGCAGTGGCAACTCCTGAGAAACACTGGCCATACAGTGACCATAACCAAAAAGCAGAGGAGGATTCTGTCAGGAAAAATCATCTTCCAGGGAAGGGGATTCTCCCTACCTCAGGACTCCAGAAAGCACAGAAACTAACAGCCAACACCTAAATCAGCGCAATGGGTAGAGGTCAGCATAAAGGCTCAACCAACAAAAGACAGAGCAATATGGCATCTCCAGAACCCAGCCATCCAAGGGCGAAGAGCCCTGAACAATGCAGCATAATAGAAAATCAAGAAGATGACCTTACATCTATGTTGATGAAGAGAATAATAGAGGAAACAGATAAAATACGTAAAGAATTAGAGGAAGATAAAACCAAACAGATCATGGCTATCCGTAAAGAAATGGAGGAAGATAAAGACAAGCAGATTAGGGCCATCTGTGAAGAAATACGGGAAGATGCAGCCAAACAGCTTGTGGTCTTCAGAGAAGAAATAATTAAATCACTGAAAGAAATAAAAGAGACAGAGTTGAAGGAACTAAAAGAAAAAGAGGAAAATACAAGCAGACAGGTGAAGGAAGTAAACAAAACAACACAAGACCTGAAGATAGAACTAGAAAAATTAAAGAAAACACAAATGGAGGAAATAATGGAGAGGAAGAATTGTGGGAAGAAAACAGGAACTACAGAGGTAAGCATAACCAACAGACTACAAGAAATGGAAGAAAGAATCTCAGGTGTAGAAGATACAATGGAAGAAATCAATGTATCTGTCAAAGAAAATGTTAAATCCAAAAAATTCCTGACACAGACCGTCCAAGAAATCCAAGACAATATGAAAAGACAAAACCTAAGAATAATAGGCCTTCTCCAAGGCCCAGAAAATATATTTGGGGGGGGGGGTGTCCTGGATTTATTTATTTATTTGTGTACTGTTTTTTGTTTGTTTGTTTCTTTTTTTTCCTTTATTTTGAATTTTATTTTTTTCTTATCAGTTACATTTTATTAACTCTGTATCCCAGCCGTGTCCCGATCCCTCATTCCCTCCCAGTCCCTCCCTCCCTTCCTCATCTCCACCGTGCCCCTTGCCAAGTCCACTAATAGGGGGGACCTCCTCCCAATTCATCTGATCCTGTTTTATTAGGTATCTTCAGGACTGGCTGCAAAGCTCTCCTCTGTGACCTAACAGGACTGCTCCTCCCTTGGGGGGTGGGGAGGCCAATGAGCCAGTCATTGAGTTCCTGTTAGAAATAGTCCTTGTTCTCCTCACTATGGGAAACCAATTGGTTACTGAGCTACCACAGGCTACATCTGAGCAGAGGTTCTAGGTTATATCCATACATGGTCCTTGGTTGCATGTCAGTCTCAGAAAAGACCCTGCGCCCAAACATATTTGGTCCTTGTGGAGCTCCTATCCTTTCCTCATCCGACTAACTCCCCTTCTTTCTTATGATTCCCTGTACTATGCCAAGGTTTGGTCATGAGTCTTTGCTTTGAAAGCACTGCTAGTTAGAGTCTTTCAAATACGCTCAGTAGACTCCTGTCATAAGTTCAATGCACATCCCATCTGTCTTTCTAAACGAGGATTGATCTTACCCCATGTCTGCTCTCTTGATTATCTTTTTTAGGTGTACAAATTTCATTATGTTTATCATATCTTATAGGTCTATATAAGTGAATATATACCATGTTTGTCTTTCCCCTTCTGGGATATTTCACTCAGGATGATCTTTTCTAGATCCCACCATTTGCCTACAAATTTCATGATTTCCTCCTTTTTGATTGCTGAGTAGTATTCCACATACAATTTCTGTACCCATTCCTCCGTTGATGGACATCTGAGTTGTTTTCCAGGTTCTGGCTATTACAAATACTGCTGCTATAAACATGGTTGAGCAAATATCCCTTTTGTGAACTTGAGCAAACTTTGGGTATATACCTAGCAGTGGTATAGCTGGGTCTTGAGGAAGCACTATTCCTAATTGTATTAGAAAGCACCAGAGAGATTTCCAGAGTGGTTGTAACAGTTTACATTCCCACCAGCAGTGGAGGAGGATTCCCCTTTCTCCACAACCTCTCCAGCATGTGTTGTCCCTTGAGTTTTTCATCTTGGCCATTCTGATGGGTGTAAGGTGATATCTCAGGGTCGTTTTGATTTGCATTTCCCTGATGGCTAATGAGGATGAGCATTTCTTTAAGTGTTTCTCTACCATTCGATATTCCTCTGTCGAGAATTCTCTGTTTAG